ATACGGCCCGATTTTTAAGTTGACTTTGTAGCAGAGATTGTTCGATAGCGCTGATTTGAACATTCATTATGAGGATTTCTGATTCGATCTTTTGCAAAGCTTGCTTCAACCTCAGCATTGGAGCTGTAATTATTCCATAAACCATAAGGAAAATGAATTTAAAAGCGATGCAGAAAATAGATTTCAAATAATCTGTCAATATGGAAATCAATCAGCGTTGTCATAACGTATACAGTCAGCCTTTTCCGCCCACCAAATGATAGTGTCTTCACTTGGAACTTCGAGGCTATCAGTTCATTGTGATCGCAATGAATATCTAGTACCAGTTATAGTCGGTCAGTGATGTCTCATAGGAATGGATAAACAAATATTAAAACCACTAAACACTAATCGATATAAAAAGCAGAATTTTTGTCACTTAAAGCTAGATATTTACGATGGAAGAAGGATTAGATTACCTCCATCGCTATTCTGGAGGCTTTTCTCGTCAATTTGTTGCTTAATATGTTCCAGTTCATCACTAACACGTTGCAGCTTTTGGGTACGCTCCGAAATACCGCTACTGATTTCCCTGTTCAAGTAAACAACTTTTTACGTAAAGTTAAAGCTGATTTTTTGATAACTTACAGAACTCTATAAGGTATAAGCATTACTTGTATTTTTGCTTTGCTTCAATCATCCTCTCTTTAGCAAGGCAAAACTTTATCAATATAGGTTCCAGTTGGATGTTGAAGTGCTTCTCCCTGTAAAGAAAGTTTTGATGTACGAAGAAATTCTTAAAATGATATAATGCATGGACGGATTTCCACCTGTTAGCAATTCTTTCCATTATTTTATCAAGCTCATTTGAAATTCTCTTCAAATGCGGTTCTGTTGTACTTAGCAATTCCGCCACTGTTTTCTGCAAAGACCGTATTCGTTCCAGATGCATTCGCCAGTTCTAAAAATTTTTATATACGCAGGTTAAATAATAAATGATTCATTTTCTCCTCATTCCATTACATATGTATATATGTGTCCGTTGTCGTTGAAGTTTCGGTGTTTGTTTGCATTTTTTTCTTCAAGTACCCATTGGGTAGTTTTACTATCATTACTTTGCAAATGGATCTTTTGGAAGAATTAAAAGTAATCGATATGTTTAAGATCAAACTTATGGCATACCTTTGCATCCTGCTCGAAAGTAACTTTAAGACGTGGTGCTACTCGTTCAACTTCAATTTTCCAAGAGTCCACATCTGTATCACTGTGAAGAATACGGTCCAAAGGCTGTTGCTGAAATTTTACATCATAGTTAAATCTAACAGAAAAGAAATATCACAAAAAAAGGAAAAAAGTATTGATGAGTGCTATCTTTTAAAGTGAAGTTTGATGAAATATTACATTTTTGCCACCAGTAATTCTTGAAGATGGCATTGCTTTCAGATCCATTACAATTTCATTATCATCATCGTCAGCATCATCAATTTGTCCGTTCTCATCAAACTGAAATTTCTTGCAACTACTCAGTAATTGACATCTGTCTGAGCAAATTTAAACTTCACTCAAATGTATTATATTTAAATGGAACGACGAATGATATGTTAACTGGAAACTAATTTAAATTAGATGTAGTGGGAACATTTGAAGATGGGTTTTTTACCTCTTCAGCAGTAATTTCAGCTTGATCAACAGCCTTATCCGCTTCCTCATCATCTTCTGGCACTGGATACGCTCTGTAATAAGGTTTGACCCGAGAAATAACCAATCTAGAATTTTTCCAACATAATTGAGTTTATTCATTAATTTTCGGCTATAGAGGTTTCTAAATGAATTGACTAAACAAATCGATCAGACCAAAATATTACTTGATCCAAGAAAAGTGCCGGGCAATAAGTGCTAAATCAGCGAGTTTGTTCAGCACATACAAACATTGCTCACCAGCGCCAGTTTTTAATTCATTTGGTGCAAAAGTAATAGGAACATCCTTGCTTTGTAATGCGTTCAGAATACTTGAAATCGTCCCATTCGGATCATCAAACTACAATATCATTAGTATTAACTAAAGCATTAGGAACATTGTTAACAACAATTTGAGGATAAAAACCTCTTGGGGAAGTGTGAATGCCGAATCGATAGCTTTCTGGATGAGCCATGCAGATAATGTAGTGAAGATAAAGAATTGCTCACCAATATTTGTACTTTTCACAAAATATTCTCTGCAAATGAACCAACTAACCGAAATCAGTTGTCAACTTCGGAGTCTCAAGTTCCAAATAATTTAACAAAAAATGTTGGCAGTAATTTCTGCTTAATTGATGGCAAGTAGTAAATAGCAATTAGGTAGCTATATTTTTTTAGGTTGCATCAGCAACAATGTGACATCACAAATTTTAACTTCTATACCAGATACAATAATTTTCACTTCATTTTTAAAAGTTCACTTTTACTACTCCTCACATGTTGCTATCTAAATCGTATCGAAAATTCTATTCCATCAAAATTATCTTTTCTTGAACGATTAAAGCATCTAATTAGTACATAATTATAGAATGGGAAGAATTTTACCTAGAAACAGTCCTGTAGGTTGGAGCCAAATTTGTATAATCCTCTTCATAGTTTAACAATTTAAGCTTATCATTTAGCTCATCACTAAGGACATACAGTTCATATTGTTGAGCAGGACTTCGATCATTTCCATCTTGTTCATTCTCCTTTTCCTCTCCATCTTCTTTTCCTTCCATTTATGAACAAAAAAAAAAAAAAAAATAAAA